TCGATTCGCCCTCTGCCCTTTCATTTATTTTGTCCTGGAACCGAAAGCGTTTACGTGCAACTTTTAATCAACTATTTTGCTTCTCAGAACTAACAAGGACTACGAAAACCTAGCACATTTAAGCAGCTTACTGATTCCGCGGCATAAAAGAAATGTAGAGGGAATGTAAAAGGGCTTCCAATTTCTGCAAGCCTTGCAAAGGACTGTCCGTTGCAGTACTTGGTTCCAGCTTCCAAGCAGCCCCGCCGCGGGTTTTTTGTCCTCCTCGACGCGGGTGCACCACTCCCGAAATTTAAATGCCCAGACCAGCAAGCTCTACAAGCACGAATATCGGGCGAGCTTTGCGCTCGCGCCCCGGGCACCGACTATGCGAGACACGCGAGCATCGATTATGATCGGGGTTTCACTTGGTTTAGAGACACGTCGCTCATTGTATGCAGAGCGATGGACACCCGCGGCATGTAAAAGCGGCACTCCGTTGCATGCACGAGCGGCAAATGTGGTGGAGTGGGATTTGCCATGCCCGCCATTGAGGAGCGCGTAGCAAGATACCACATGCACTCAACAGGAGGTGGCACGCACCAAGCGCGCACGCACCGCAGCCGCAGACACCGTCTCCAGAGTGCGCGGTGTAGAATACGTGCTCATGGCGCGGTACACAGCACATCGCCTCGTGTAACGCGAGCAAGCGCTTGCCAGACATGCGCATACGTGCACGCGAAGGCATCCAACACCTCATTGAGCAGCATTGGGCCCATCTGACCGACTAAGCTGAAGGTCTCACCTCGTACGGGCAGCGCAGGCATTGGCCGTTCTTGCTCGTGCAGCCTCGCGCGCGACAAGTTATACCGCGATCTGCAGTGCCCACGGTCATTTGGTGTTGTCGATAGTACGGATCCGCGCTGTGTTCACTGCGACAGTGCGACCGTCCGCCTGGTACACACGGGTGGGCTCGAACAGCAAGTATTTTGCTAAGGAGGCAAGTCGGTGAGAAAAGCACGGACAAAAACAAAGCGTGCACGTACTGCTACGCAATGGTCAACATCCATCTTCAAGCCCACTTCGCGCTCTCAATCCCTCTTCTGCCAATACAGCCCCATGCATAGCCGCACATGCGGCGCGGGGCACGAAATCGCGGCCGCGACACCCCTGCGGCTAAACATAGCTGAGCATGGATGGCCCCGATGCAGTGGTCCATCGTTTCTCAAAGATTTTGCGGGGAAAAGAACAGGACAAAGTGCTCAGGCTCGCGTTGAAAGGCCTTCGAAAGTCGGATTTTTCGTTGTCTGGGGTCAGAAACGAGTCGCGGGAAGCCATGAGGAGGTCGGTAATCGATGTATGGGGGTTCGAGTTATGTGGCTTCGAGCAGCGGCGAGGGAGGGGGCCAGCGGCAGCGACGACGAAGGCGAGGACATAGCAGTGTGACGCAAGTGTGACGGACATACGCTATGTCCCGATTTGGGAGCTTATGTACCTCAGGGCACCGCACCAGACCCTCCTTTGGGTGGCAACTGCTTGGATCAAATACACATCCAAACACAATCACACTTGCCTCCTGACTTCAATGTCATCCGAACCGCATCGACTCTTAAGCTGGCCATCTGCACAGTGAGCTGCTTGAATACCCAATTTTGCCTGTTGTGGTCGACATTTACTATCCCCAAAGTCGCTAAACTTGGCTAAATTTGATTGGCGACTCCAAGACGACTCCAACAGAAGGTTTCTGCCAACACTTGCAATTGGACCGGTAATTTTATAGGCTGTCTTGTTCATCTCGAAAAGTCTGGGCCTTGGAATACTCTCGCGCCGAGTCGGCTGCTCCTCATCCATCACTCTGCGCCATTCTTCGACGATTCTATTGTTCCTGGCTCTTTGACAGAGTCCGCCCAGCTTGGAATTCTAGGCAAACTCTCTGGCTACCAGTCAGCTGTTCTTCCACCTCTAGATTTCTTTGTTCCTTCGCACTATGCAATCCAGACCCGGGGCTCAGCTCTCGTTTGCTCCCAGTGTTCTCGACAGAAAGAAAAAGCCTCTCCTTTGGCCAGCTGTCCTGCCTTTGATTGCTTGGATATACATGGTCCTTACTTCGACCTTTTATTTTCGGAGTCTCGTATTCTTACCCGGGTCCGCGGCCATGATCAGCAAAGAACTGTCCTGATGACAGCCGCGAACCTGTAGGCCGCCAAAGATCCCCAGACCCCTCCTTCGCGTTCCATTCCACATATTATACCGGGGTCCGGCTTAGCTCGCCGCAATAAAAATATCCCCTCGAGCTCGTTCTCTTCCAAATCGAAGAATTCCTTTTGGCCCTCAAGCACGCGACACGGATTGGTATTCCTGCCCGCCTCCGCGGCTCTGAATACTAGCCAGCTTCTATGCTGTGACCGACAACTGGTCGCACAGAAATCCTCAACTTTAGATTTTTTTGTGCCTCCAGACTCCGAGTCGGTCTCGACCCCTTGTCCGTCCATAAGAGAGATAAACAACATTCCTACATTTTTTCAACCATCGTGGCCTCGGTTCTTGGGTTCTCAATCATGAATCTGCTTTTTCCGACTCTGTGAATCAGTTAAATCACCCCTTGAGACGACTGGTACTCATTTCCCGCCCATCTCCGTGGCCGTCGACGCAATGTTTTTGGGATCCACGTCCTTCGCGTTCCATCGCATAACACGAGAAACCCACCGACAGCGGGAATTTCTGAGGCTTCGCGCTGCGGAACACAGCCTCGGGTCTCGACCCTCAGTCTGTCAGAAACAGACAATAAACGAGAAACCCTTGCATTTTCTCCGGTCTTCCGATATCACTGTGGCACGTTGTATTTCTTTACTCTCAAATCGACTTTAAACCTCAAGCACAGACTCGGACTCGGACTCGTCTAATTCCTGCGCGTCCCCGCGGCTTCCAACACTCCCGCCTAAAACTTAAACCGAGTTGCATCGCGAACGCCCCATGGCCGCCCCACTTCACACGGCGCCGAGGATCCCCGCTCCTCGAATAGACGGTCCTACCATTCGCGTGCAACCTTCCATTTCATTCCAGATGTCACGCACGCAGTTGGCCGCTCTCCTGCCCACTTGCCCGCGTATTTAGCGACGCTAAACTGCCTGCACCCGATAGTTTCCCGACAGCCGACGACGCAGATCACCTTCTCCTTCCAGACAATCGCTTATACAAAGACACGGCGTACCCACACCCACGGCCCCGTCCACGTGGCGCCGCTTCCGGTGTGAACTTGCGAACGGCGCCGAACGCGCAGCTAGTGCGAACGTGAACAATGTGAACGGAAGGCGCAGCGGCAAAGAGTCTATTCGACAGCGCGATCTGCACGACATCTACACCCGTCTCTATGGATCCGCGCGCCATTCACGTTTTCCCCACACCAAGTATAGCACACTCTGCACGCGCGGACCGCGACCCGCGCGCAATGTCCGCCGCCCGCAGCAAAGTCGTCACGCCCCCGCCGCGCCGCGCCGCCCGTATCACCGCACCCCGCAACGTGCCCATGGCCATATGCAGCATCACGCGCCGAACTTCGAAGCAGAAGGCCCGCTGACCTTGCGCTGGCCGGCGCTCCACAGCGCCTTCAAGTTCACATGGCCGCGCCTTCGCACAGGCGCCAATCAAGCGGGCTGGCTCGCTCACTCGTCGAAGCTCTGGCAGCACCTAGACCGCGGCCACGATCAGCGCTCCGCGCCGCCCGAACTTCGGCGAAGATTATTCGCATCTGTCCAGTGTCCTCACGGTCCATCTATCTGTTTGGGGCGTATCACTATTGAGGCGTAGCAACGTCTGCGGATGTCGATACGGCGGGCTATGCGCGACGAACTGGCTCACTGCTCAGCCTCATTCATCAACGCCAGAAAGCATCCGCTCATCAACGCAAAACTTTCTTGAACCATCTGACATACGGCCCGCACTTTAATTTCGGGGGTATCACCGTTGCGCGTCGGTATATTTCCTGTGGCGCATCGGGGCATATTTTGCACGACGATGGCGCGTGGCGCGTCGGGGAGAAGACACATCCGCAACGCGCAAGCGCCGGGCGCTCGTCGGGCGTGCGCGTCTTCCGACAAAATATCCCCGCTTCGAGATGATTACTAATCAGACGAGAGCGCTTGAGCTCCAAGGCAGCATCAGGAGTTAATCAAAGAAGAAAGTAAGCAAAATCCAAAGAAAAGACATGAGGAAGTCAGAACATAAAACCGCCACGTGATCGCGTGGTGTCGATGTCACCACACAGCAACAAATTGCAACTCTTCCCACAACCTTCATCACTGCGGCCCGAGTGAGTACGCATCGTCACTACACGGCGCTAAATCTAAGACACAAAACAGAACGATGAATCCCCTGCACATTCCAGAACTCGTAGATCACTGTGTGGGCTTCCTCGCCCAACCCGATCTGTGTTCATGCGCCCTGGTCAGTCGGTCCTGGGTATATCTCGCACAGTCGCGACTTACCCCAGGCCAATCTTACTCTGCTTTGATTTCCAGCATATGAGTGGATGAATTGTGTGGACCATACACCACTGGTGCTCTGCAACTGCTAGTTTACATCGTCCATTTATATGACACGGGAGCCCCTGATGGCACGGGCAGTCAAAAAATGTGGACCCTAAACCATTCATTATGCACCGGCGGGGAATTGAACCCCGGACTCAATCATGTCCAATTGGATGGACCACATATGAGGTGATTGTGTGTACCATACACCACCGGTGCTCTTTACTTCAGGTTTGCATCCCCAACTTATAACACACAAAATTGAGGTCAGCCACTGACAAACCGGCTGGTCAAAGGTTTTCACAACCAGCATTATGCACCGGCGGGGAGTCGAACCCCTGACCCAATCTTACTCATTCGATAGAACACGAGTTGATTGTGTGTACCATACACCACTGGTGCTCTGCAACTGCCAGTTTACATCATCCATTTAAACGACACGGGAGTCCCTGATGGCACGGGCAGTCAAAAAATGGACTAGACCCTAAACAGCCATGCACCGGCGAGGAATCGAACCCGGGACTCAATCATGTCCAAATTGGATGGACCACATATGAGGTGATTGTGTGTACCATACACCACCGGTGCTCTTTATGCCAGGTCCATACCTTGATTTATACCACATGAAAAGAGGTTAGCCGTTGTCGATTTAAGTCGCCAAAAAGAATTTTCAAACATCACGCACCAGCGGGGAGTCGAACCCCGGGCTCAATCTTGCTTACGTGCCCAAACTGCCAACTCAGCAGTGGATTGTGTGTACCGTACACCACTGGTGCTTTTCATCTCAAGTTTGCACCCACCACTTGAGCCATACAAAATTGGTGGAGCTGACACCTGATATTCTGGGGGCTAGAAGGAAGGATGTGCAGCTCTTGACATGCTCTGACTGATGAGAGGTCGAGTTTGTTGAGTGTAGCATATGCCACCAATATTTTTTCAATCTCAGTTTACTCCCTTGTCATATTCCACTTGTGTCTCACACCATGCGTGGAACCAAGTACTATTGTGACTTGAACCCACATTCACTGAATTTTGATTCATTCACTGCTCTAGCTAGCTCGATCTAATGACATGAGTTGATTGGGTATCCTGCCCTTCGAGCACCAAATGAATCAGTCGTATGAGCAAAGAAGAGAAAGAAAAATCCCGCATCACTAAGACAAATGTGCCTGGGGCCTGAGGTTCGAAGCCCAGGCTCACATACATTGCTTTAGGTATCTCATAAATTCAATTCAATTCAAAAGAAGGTGGGGGGAAAAACTGGACTGGTTCGGGAGAAGTGCACCCTTGGGGGATCGAACCCTGGACTCAGCCTGACTTTTCTATCACTTCAACAATAGAAGACTGTGTGTTACCCGCTACACTATACTACTAAGGGTGCATGATCTCAGTGTGCCAGAGGTCATGAGGTGGAATGTCGATATTACAGCAACGGCACATACAGCTACCAACTTGGACTGAGAAAAAAATCAGACCGGCGAAAATAGAATAAGAAGCCAGAAGGCAAGAAAACCAATTTCCAGGTAAATGCACCCTCGGGGGATCGAACCCGGGACCCAGCCCTAACATTTCGTGGGAGTCTCAATAGTACAAGGCTGTGTGTTACCGCTACACCAAGGATGCTTGATGTGTTGGCACATTGACTGGTAAACTGAGACTAACCTCACACAAGGAAAGAGCACAAGACAAAAAAGAGGGGAGTATGAAATAAGAGTGAGAGTGAGAGAAAAAGAAAAAGAAAAGAATACCCAGACTTATGCCATGTGTCCTCGGGGGTTCGAACCCCGGACTCAATCTTATTCTTATCCTACGACATCTGGATTAGCAGATTGTGTGTTACCGCTACACCAAGGACGCTTTCTTGCTTTTGGCAAGTTAGTGCAACAGGAGAGTGTGGTTTCCAGACTGAGACAGGCCGGCGAAAAGCAAAATCAAAAGAGAAGGAGAACAAGGATGAGTAAGAAAACAGAAAATGAAAAGAATGCCCAGACATATGCCATGCGTCCTCGGGGGGTCGAACCCCGGACTCAGCCTAAACTGGAACTTCTGCCTGAATAGTAGAAGGCTGTGTGTTACCATTACACCAAAGACGCTTGATCTGCTCACTACATTTGAACAACACGGAGGTTTAGATTAAGACAGGGCGGTGAAAAATACATGAGTAAAAGTACTTGAAAGTGAAGGAAATTTTAAAAAGAGGAAGAAACAAGCAAATGCATCCTCGGAGGCTTGAACCCCGGACTCTGCCTAATATCATAACATGGTCTGCCGTGCCAAGATCAGACAGTGTGTTACCGCTACACCAAGGACGCTTGATTTGTCTGATGAATCACTGGTGCAAAGTGAGATACTTGGACTGAGACGGACCGTGAGAATGCAAGCAAGCAAGAAAAAGGGCAAGACCAAACTCGATTCTGAATGCATCCTCGGGGCTCTGCCTTGGAAAAGCTGAATCTTGCCATTTCAGGGCAGGGTGTTACCACCAAGGACGCACGCCCTTGCCTTCTACATGAATTCACTGATAGAGGCAGGAGAAAGAAGGAATTTTCCGATGAGAGCAAGAAAAAGGAAAAGGAAAAGGAAATGAAAATGAAAGCAAAACACGAAGATGTCATGCATCCTCGGGGGTTCGAACCCCGGACTCAATCTCAAATTTATCAACACCCAATGGATTAGAGGATTGGGTGTTACCGCTACACCAAAGACACTTTCCTCACTCTTGGCAAGTTACTGGCATAGTCCAAGAGTGAGATACATAGCCTGAGACGGGAGGTGAAAGAGCACCAGACAAAAAAGAGCAGGAGAACGAAGATGAGTAAGAAAATGAAAAGAATACCCAGACATATGCCATGCGTCCTCGGGGGTTCGAACCCCGGACTCAATCTTATTCTTATCCTACGACATCTGGATTAGCAGATTGTGTGTTACCACTACACCAAGGACGCATTCTTTCTTGCTCGGCAAGTTGCTGGCATAGTCCAAAAGTGACATAGAGTGAGCCTAGAAGAGCACCAGAGAAAGAGAGCAAAAACGAGGAGGAAAAAGGATTGGAAAATGCACATGTACATGACCGAAATTAAGGCAGTGTGTTACCGTTACACCAAAGACACTTGATCTGCTGGCCACATTTATACAATAGGCAAAACAGCGACTGAGACAGTGAGGGAGCAACAGCAAGAGAGAGAGAAAAACGAGGAGGAAAATAATGTCAATAGCAGCACATGCGTCCTCGGGGGATCGAACCCCGGATTCCACCTTAACTGTACTTCAAACTCTGTACTATTTGATAGTGTGTTACCGTTACACCAAAGACGCTTGATCCATTAGCTACATTTAAACAAGACAGAGGTTTAGATTCAGGTGGAAGAGCACAAGAGAGATCTAGAGAAGAAACGAGAAGGAAAAAAAAAAGACTGGGAACTGGCAGATGCGTCCTCGGAGGCTCGAACCCCGCACTCCACCTTAACTTTACTTCAAGCTCTGCACAATTTGAAGTGGTGTGTTACCACTACAAGGACGCTTGATCCATTAGCTGCATTTAAACAAGACAGAGGCGTAGATTAAGACCGGCCGGCGAAAAACCACAGAGGAGAATGATGAGTAGAAGTACTTGAAAGCGAAGGAAACAAAAAGAGGAAGAAACAAGCAAATGCGTCCTCGGGGGTTCGAACCCCGGACTCAATCTCAAATTTGCGATAGCAATGGGTCAAGACAAGATTGCGTGTTACCGTTACACCAAAGACGCTTGATCCCTCCACCACAGCTGAGGTTCCTGGACCGCGACAGAAGCGAAAAAAAAAAGAGCACCGGAAAATGAGAGGTATGACTAAGGCTAAGTAAGACTAAGAAAAGAAAGAAGACTTCCTTAAAGAAGCTGCAGTGTGTCCTCGGGGGCTCGAACCCCGGACTTCGCCGTAGAAAACAGGAGAAGGCTATGAATTCAGGGCGGTGTGTTACCGCTACACCAAGGACGCTTGATCTGTTGTTGTATTTAAACAACACAGGTGAGGCTCTCAGATTGCGATGGACGGGTGAAAGAGCACATGGGAGAGATGAGTAAAGGTGGTTGAAAGTGAAGAAAAAAAACACTTGGAACTGGCAGATGCGTCCTCGGGGGCTCGAACCCCGGACCCAATCTCAAACCATTTTAATATTGATATAAGTCGAAGATTGTGTGTTACCGCTACACCACGGACGCTTCGTCTTTCCTGCACATTGATGTCGATATACTGTATTAAGTGAATTCGGGTTTTGCCTCTCTTGTCGGACTGAATGGGGTGCGGATACGGAGTGCAGTTTAAAGCGCGCCCGATCGCTCCCCTTCTCCTTAAGCTTGCGTACCTACTTAACGGCAGGCCGCACTCGGACACGTAAATAACGCGCCGACATCTGCGTGATCGGGCACGCACGCAGATCGAATCGCGCCGTCGCGCACCGGTGCCACGGAAGTAACGTGCGCAGAGGGTTACGTGCCAGCGGTGCGCGACGGCGAGGCCTGGCGCGCCTGAACGCCGATCCCCGGGGCGCGATCGAGATGACGCATGCATGTGCGCCGGCTGGCGGGCTGGCTCGGTTCGGCGGCTTGGTTTGTAAGTGTCAGTGAGTGAAGTGCGTGCGGAGCGGTTGGTGGGGCGGGACCCCGGGGAGCGCGGCGCTTCTTTGCGGCGTGATCGACAGGGGTGCGACGGTGCGACGTCCGGCGACAACGCACAGGAAAGAGGGGCAGCGTCCGACATAGCGTCAATCAGCGTACTAGGGAGATCCACGCCCGGCGATGGGCATCATCTGCGCCCCCAAAAAAGCAATACGCGGGGAGCAAGAACAAGGAGAGGGAAAGAAAGATTGATGGGCAGCGGGAAGCGGGATTGGCTGCGATAACTCCGTGCCTCCGTGATGCGGCGCGCCACGCCTTCGTCTCGGTAATAGTTTGCGTTGGTGCGATTTAGGAAGAGATCGGCGGATAGAAGCTAATACAAAGCTAATAGCACAGAGAAAGTTAAGTACACGCATTTGACGACGAAGGAAAGATAGTGGGAGAGGTGGGTGGGAGACGAAAAAAGTACGGTGCACTAGACGTACGGAAATTGGAATCTGGTGCAATGTTAGTGCGGTGCTCTCGTAATTTCCACGGCGGCGCCGCTCACTGCGGACAACGTAAATTCACGGCGGCGAAGCCCCGAGTGAACAGCAAATTCTGGAGAACATACGAGGGGTGAGCATCAACGGACACCACCAGCGCGGGGCGCTTACCTTGTGCGCGAGGGCAGAGGCGAAGCCAGCAACCGCACAAGGACATGTCTCACCGAGCTGAGACACGTCTGAAGCAGCCTCCGCTGAACAATAGCACTGAGACAGAGTCAGTTCGTTCGTCGCCGTTCACGTGTCGAGTAGGCGCAGAGGCCTCCGAAAACCTCCCTACCCCCGGAATCCGGTTTTACTCCAACCCAGCCCCCGCCGGATGTCTTGACTTTGATCCCTCTTCCCCACTTCCCTCCCTCTGCGCCATCCGCGCCCCGACGACTACACCGACGCCACTGACGAAAGGATGACCGACACGGGCGCCGCCGTCGCGCCCCCCGCCGCTGCCGTTGAGGGCCTATGCTAGACTTGAAAGACCGGGAGAAGGAGAACGTGAAGGAGAAAGACGACGTGGCGATGAGCGACGCGGACGCCCCCACCGAGCCCGACCCCTGCCCCGGAAAAACACACAGACGAGCCCGCCACCAACTCCACTTCCACCACCACCGCCGCCGCTGCCAACAACGCCACAACCAACACCACGCCCCCGAGCACCGCCAGCGCAGGCACCAGCACGCTCGCCGCGACGACCGCCGCGCACCTCGCGACGCTCCTCGCCGCCGCGCTCGCCGTGGCGCGCACCCGGGCTTTATACATAGCGCTGACCGGAAGTGGCCCGAGTTTGAAGCTGAGAAAAAAGAGATACGCGACATAGCCCATGAAGAAAATAACATTGCTATGCATAGCGCGCTGGAGGACAAATCCGCATAAATATACGCCATATGTACATTGCGACGTACGGAAATTAATACACGGTGTCGAGCCCGAGCTACCAAATGAACACTGCGGCGGAATGCTGTACCTCTGCAGAGTGACGTCGCGTCCATTGGTATTTTCGCTCACTCTCCTGGTATGCACCAATGTACTCGCCCGTGCGCAGCTTGAGGCTCCCAGCCGCCCCACGGGAGTCCCGTGTCCGTTCGGCGGTACATCAAATTAAAACGGTCAGCAACGCGTAACATAAATTCGCACTCACCGTTCCTTCACTATCAACCGTCCATAAACTCGGTGCGTAAGCGCTCGAGCAGGGCACACGCCGTGCCTGTGGGTATGGGGCCCGATGTCGCAGAGCGTAGAACGCGCAAGGGATGGTCCGAAGAGCGTCGAGGGAGGGGCGATAGCAGCGGGACACTCAAAGAAGGGAAGGAAAGGAGGAGAGAGAGGGACTACCAAAAGTCTTCGCTTCTTGGGTACTCCACAAACCGGGGCAGCCGGCGCACGCTCAGACGCCCTCCGCGACCTTCTGCTTGATGATCTCGACGATGTTGGGCTCCACGACGGTGCTGAGGTTGCCGAGCTGGTCGCCCTCGCCCGCGACGATCTTGCGTATGATTGCCGCATGGTCTGGCCGCCCCATATCACATCAGCATCCGCGTCCGGCTATACAGGAGGAGGAAGGGACGCACCTTCGCTGAGCGCGTCTCCGGGAGGTCGGGCACGATGTGATTTTCTTGGGCGCCGCGAACGGGCCGATGACCGTGCGCACCTACAGCACGAGCTCCTTGGTGAGCGCCGCCTCGTTGCTCGTGTCGTACTTGAATTCGCTAAAGGGCAGCGTCAGTCGCAGGTGCGGATGCAGGGGAGGGAGGGGAAGGAAAGGACGTACGGCTTGAGCGTCACGAACGCGCTGCACCACCAATCCACACGTCAGCGTCGACTTGAAGTGGGGGGCGGGAGGACGCACCAGCAGTCTCCGCGACGCCCTTGTGCATGATGAGCGCGCTCTCGACGCGGAGTCAGTCGCAAGTTCGCGTGGGGACACGGGGCGCGTGACGTGGCGGGTGGCTGCAGCGGTGCAACGGAGTAGGAGCGGGGAAGTGGGCGGGGCGCGTGCGCAACGGCGCGGACGACACCGGCGGCATCGTTTACAGCTAAATCGAAAACGATAGACGTTTTCGATTTTCGAGCTGAATTCGGGGGAGCTCTCGGCAATGCGTCATCCGCAATAAATTTAGTTCACTCCCGCTTCCTTCTCATCTCCGGGGTCTCAGAATCAGCTGTTTTTTCAGCAAGAGGCAGTCGGTACGTAGTCTATACCATTCCAGCAGTATTGTAGGGTTTGAGGAGGAAAGTTGTGAACAACGTTCTGGCGAGATGGTACGGTGGGTGGCGTTGGAGTGGAGTATGACGCGTTGGGAGCGCCCGGCCCGAATTCAGCTTGAAAATCGAAAACGTCTATCGTTTTCGATTTAGCTGTAAGTGGAAAGGCGATGTACCCGATCAATCAGCGGCAAGAACCGGCAATCCGGGCACGTGCTTGAGTCGCGTCGACATGTCTTTGCGCGTTTGGACCCATTCAGACGCGTTATTGGGTCCGAAACACACCTGGGATTTCATTCAGTGATGTCACCCAGATTGGGGAGCCTTACTGGGAGCTCCGACGCGTAGAAAACCCGAATTATGTGATAAAATCCCTGGAAGGCGAAATAAATTCTCCTTGGCCATTATTGTTTCAGTTTCAGTCCCGACAGACCAGGGAGAACTTTCTCAGCTCAATGGGTATCTTTTGAAATTTCCTTTGGCTCGATATTCACACTTTTCAAGGCTCCAATGAAGTATGCTTGATTGAACATGCACAATGACAGGTTTGAACACTGGTGATTGAACACCGATGCTCATTTGAAAGGGTTGATTGAACACATTTTTCAAAGTGTTCGATTGAGTTCCAAATGTACACCCCCCATTGAACATATTCATGGGAATGCTCAATTGAACAGTGTTCAATCGATGGTTCCTTCAATCGAGGTGCACAATGTGTTCAATATGTTCAATCGGGGCAATGTGTATAAGGCAATTCTCCTTAATTGTTGGGTAACCCGAGGGTCACCACGCCCGCGGTATATAAGGACAGCCAGTCTGCCCCAGTGCCTCAAAGTTTCCAAGCTTCTAGCTACCACGAATAAGATTCAGATTTCCCCACTTCGCACGTCCCTCGTCCCGCTCAGCGAGACACCCTAAGTACTTCCCGCACATCGTCTATCGCCCATCGCCCTCGCATCGTATTCGCAGGCTTCGTCGTCGCTGCGCGGTCCTTCGTCGCCATCGTATCGTATTAGTCGCGGCCTTCGTCGTTTGCCGCCCACGTATCGCAGTTCGTTTTAGGACATCGTTGAACCCAGTAGGCATCGTAGCCTACTATCCTTACCACCACCATACCCCCACACACCGTCCACACCCAGGTGCAGGAGCAAAGTTGAACCAACTCGCATTCACACCAGTTTACGATCATCAGAGAGTTGTTGGACCTTTGATTTCCATCTCACACTCTCACAAGCACCGTAAGCGCATCAGCGCGTCAGCATATCCGTTCTCTGGATTCTTCAACTCCACCATCCTGAACCTAAGACGAGCCACATCCATTGCGCATGAGACCCGACCACAGCATAAGGCCTATCGTAACAATGGGGCAAATTTCCGGTCCGAAAGATCCTCGCCCACCTCTGAACTCGGCTCTCCCAACGCATCCACTATGACGAACCCTGCATGCCCAGAAATATGCCGCGCGCCCTCGGGGGCACGAACCCCGAACTCCGCCTTGGAAAGCAGGTAGAAGCAATATTTCAGGGCGGTGTGTTACCGCTACACCAAAGACGCTTGATCCTTTCACCACATTCAAACAACAGGTGTAGATTCAGACGGGCTGGTGAAAAACGAATGGGAGAAGAAAAAGAGAACGAGAAAAGAGAACGAGAGTAAGAACCACAAGCTATTCTCAAGGTCCACGCATCCTCGGGGGCTCGAACCCCGTACTCAGGAGTCAGCCGTAAATGCCATTCAGGATTACAAGGCGATGTGTTACCACTACACAAGGACCCTTGGTGTGTTGGCACATTGACTGGTACACTGAGACTAGCCTCACACCAGGAAAGGTCACAAGAGAACAAAGAGAAGGAGAACGAAGATGAGTAAGACTAAGAAAAGAGAAAAAAAGACTTAAGCTGCAGTGCGTCCTTATAACAAGACGAAACACGTCCAAGCCAAGTTAAGGCAGTGTGTTACCGCTACATCAAGAACGCCTACCCTTGGACTGGAGCTGAATTCACTGTGGCCTAATGGGACCCCTGACCGGTGGAAAAAGAAGGAAATAAGAGTAAGAAAAAGAAGAAAGAAGAAAAAAATGCACAGCAATACGCATCTATGCGTCCCTGGGGAGTCGAGCCCGGACTCAATCTCAAGTTTGGCACCTATCAATGTGAATAGAAGATTGTGTGTTACCACCAAGGACGCTGTCTTTCATTGTCAAGTCCATTGGTACAGACATACACATACCTGTACCACAAACGGATTTTGCAGTGAATATGTAGCGCCCGGGGCGGACACTACGGCATTGCGCAATGCGCTCCGCAGACATAACGCGCGGAGGCCGCCCGCCACCGACATGTACGCGCGCCCGCGCAATTGCACGCAGCAGTAAGTACGGCAGGCCGCACTCGGACACGTAAATAACGCGCCTGCCTTGCGTGCCGCCGTGATCGGGCACGCAGATCGAATCGCGGCTCCGGGCCCCTCGCCGTCGCGCACCCCTGCCTGACACGTACCGCGCTGCGGGCTGGTGTAACTGGGGCGGATTTAAATTATGACACATGTGGCTCGGTTCGGAGTGGTGGGCGGGACCCCGGGCAGCGCGGCGCTTCTTTGCCAGGACAGGACGGAACAGCCTCGCGCGCGGCGATGTGCAGAATACGCGGAGACCGGGAAGGATCGACCTCGAAAACTTTGATCCCGCTTCCTCCCCCGCTTTCCTTTGCGCTTTTCCATAACCCCGCGACTTACGCGACTGTTGGCCCGCGACCCCGCCCTCGACGCCGACGACGAAACGCTGACTGACATGAGCGCCGCCGCCGTCGCGCCTACACTAGATCTGAAAGACCGGGAGAAGGAGAAAGAGAAGGAAGATGTAGCGATGAGCGACGCGGATGCGCCGGAAAAACATGCAGAGAAGGCTTCTGCTGCTGCCGCCAACTCCACCACCACCACCACCGCTGCCCTCGTAAATCCCTCTACCACTGCTACCAACTCGCAGGCGACCACGGGCACCACGCCGCCCAGCAGCGCTCCCACCGCGACGACCGCGCAGCTCGCGACCCTCCTCGCCGCCGCGCTCGCCGACACCGACGCCCTGCGCGACGAGCTCGCCGTGGCCCGCAAGCGCGCCGAGCGCGCGGAGCGCCTCCTCGCGACGTTTGGGGCGGTTGCGAATGCGAATACGGGAGACCGCCGGTGCAAGTCCCAGCGCGATACCCGGCGCGGGGGCGCTGCCGCAGGAGACGCTCGCGCTGCTAGTCGCGCTCGACGAGCGCACGGTGCGCGCGGAGCAGGCGAGGGACGAGGCTGTTGCGCGTGAGTCGCTTTTCTTTTCTTCTTTCACTTTCATCCTTCGCACGTCGCTTCGTCGATCTGCCTTCCTCCTTGCCCTCCTTCTCCCCTGGTGTTTCTACTCTCCCCTTCTCTTCTTTGCTTGTCGTCTCGTCTATCCCAAAACGCTCACGACCCCCAGGATCCCGCCTCCTCGCAGACAACTGGACCCAACTCGCGTCCTACCTCGCCGTCGTCGACGCCCGCGCCGCCGACGCGCGCGCGGGCTTCGCGCGCATCGTGGACGTGCCGCTGCCTGCTTCCGACTCTTCCGACTCCTCCGCGCATGCCCTGATTGCGTCCTCCGCGTTCGCGAGTGGAGGGATGTACGCGGAGCCGCAGCACGTGTACGCCGAACCCCAATACACAGGCGGGTATAGCACGATGCCCGCGCCGCGCCGGGGCACCTCTACCTCCGCCGCACCGCCGTTTAACGCCCTCCCTTTGCCGCCTTCGCCTGGGGCGGGCGGGTACGCGTACGCACACGTGGGTGGAGGGGGGCGCAATGGGCGGAGACAGCGCGCGGAGAGCGGGGATCTGTTCGGCGGCGGAGGGTATCCGAATAAGAGGGCGAGGGGGGACGGGGAGGGGGGGTACGAGGTTCGTGTCTCCTTGTTTGTTCTTCACCCTTTTTTTGTACCTCACCTTCTAGTACCACCATCCATCCTACCCCTACCCGCGCTACCCCGCGCCCTCCGCCTCCTCCGCGCACCCCGGCCCTGCGCCCGCGTCGTCCTCTTCACGCCGGCAATACACCCTCCCTGTGCACCACCACACGCGCTCGCGCGAGGGCACGATGGCGCGCGACTCCCACTCTCGAGATGGAGGCCGGGGAGACAGAGAAGGAAGGGAAGGAAGGGGAGACAGGGAGAGAGGGAGGGAGCGGAGCGCGAGCACGGCGTCGACGACGTCGACGAGATGCTGCTGGCGAGCGCGAGCGGGTCGCACCACCCCGCGGCGCACGCGCACCCTTTCTCTGCGCCCCACGCGCACGCAGCGCCCCACGGACACGCCGCGGTGCACCATGCGCAGGTGCAACGGAGCCCGGAGTGGCGGACCACCGAGCGCAGCGGGACCTCGATGACCGACAGGCCGGAGCGGAGCGCCACGGGGATGGGCGAGCGGCCGACGCTGGAGCGCGGGGGGGCGCTGCCGCCCCCCAGCGCAAACCCGCAGCGGAGCAGGAGCATGGGCGTGGGGGCAAAAAAAGGCGGGAAGGGGAAGGAGCTGCATGTGTTTGAGTATGCAGCGCCCGGGCCTGCAGCTGCAGCTGGGGCGATGGCGGCGGCGGCGGCGGCGGCGGGAGCAGGGGCGGTGGGGCAGATGGGGGGTGCAGTGAGTTGTCTTGTTTCTGTTCTTTCTTTCATTCGCGCTATTCGCCGTACTATTGGCCGTACTATCGCCTTCCCCGCTTCCTGCCCCACTTCTTTCTCCTTCGCGCGCGCCTTTCTTTCTTCCCCCTTGGTCCACTCGCGGTCCGCGTCCTTCCTCCCTCCCCACCTGCCGCTCGCCTTCGAGCCCTCCCCTTTCTCCTTCGTCCGATTCTTCCTGATCACATACTTCTTCACTCGCCGCTTGCTCTTCCGATTCCTTCTCCTCCTCTCCTCTCTCTCATCCCTTCTACTCGCCGCCACGGATCGCCTACTTGCGATTCGTCGTCCTCCCTCCGTCCTCTCCTCTCCTCCCCCCCCTCCCCTGCTTTCCTCTCCCCTTGACCCCCCCTTCTCTTCCGTCTTACTCCCTTCTCCTCGTCGCCTACCGCTCGCTAACGCCCCCGCAGACGCCCTTCCCCCCCACCAACGCCGCGAACCAGCGCATCTGCCGGCAGTGCGGGCTGCCGGGGCGCTACAAGGAGGGCAAGTGCGTCGAGAAGTGGGGCCCGGGCCCGCTGGGGCCGGGGACGGTGTGTGATCGGTGAGTCGCGCGTCCTTGTCTGCTGTTTCTTTGCTTGCGCGATTTGCGGACGCTCGGGAGCGTACCGTCCACGAGCGCGGGGTGACTTGTATATGCGTCCATCAGCGCCAGGCGGAGCTCATACGGTGGCGAGTCTGCCCTCCGCCCCCTCCTTCGCATCCTCCTGCCCTTCTTCCCCTCCTCTTCATCGCCTCCTTCATCACCTTTCGCTCGCTGACCCACCTCTCCCAGATGCCGCAAAAAGATGAAGCGCGTCGAGCGCCGCGGGACGCTCGAGCAGCAGTCGCTGCAGCAGGCGGCCGGTGCGTCTTCTTTCTTTGAATAAGAAGAGGGGTGTGAGCTGATTTTGCTTTGTGTTTCTTTTCTTCCTTGTTCGATTCGACGATACTTGAATGCTACGACTACTCGACCGCTACTGCCCGCCCGCCCACCAGCAGCCGTCACGCCCGCCGCCAGCACGTCCTTTCGCACCTCCTCCGTGCACCGCATCGACACGCTCCCGATCGCGTACCGCGAGCCCGCGCAAGAAAGCTCGATGCGCTCCTCGCTCGCCGCGTCCCCCTCGCACCCCTCCTCCGCCGCGCCCGCCGCCCCCGTGCCCACGCCGGCGCCGACGCCCAACGCGGGACGCATCATCAAGAACCGGCTGAAGCCCGTGCCGGGGCCGGGCGCGGCGGGCGGCGCGCCAGGGCTGCTGCCGCCGCTGCGCACGCACAGCCCGATGGAGGTCGACGACGAGGACCTCGACGCGGACGCGGACGCGGAGGTGGACGAGATCGACGGGGATGGGGACGCCGGGGACACGGAGGGGGAGCGCAGCGCCACCGGCATGACGGACCGTGAGAGGCCGGAACACACTTCCGCGGAGACAATGGAGAGTGGTTCAGATTCAATTCCTGAGCTCTCGGAGAATCCTTTGAATGTTTCATCTGCTTCCAGTGAGGCCGAATATATTGCATGCAACAACTCTGAAATGCCCATTTCAACTTGTGTGATTTATTCACCCGGACTTTCGCCTAGTGATGGGTAAGTTATACTAACCGTCTTCCTGTGATGAAGGATTAACTTGGTCTAGTCAATCTGATAGTCCAGCAGCTGTTCTGCCACAAGACATCCGAACTTTGGAGACTTGCATCCCTGATGGTGGCAGTATGTCATCTGTGCATTCACCGAATGATGCACTGCAGTGGGTAGAGGCCCATTATGATGATGCACTTCTGAAGACCATGCGAACACATGGGCTTCAAGGTCCCATGGCTGCGATGATGTCTCCAGAGCAGCCTGCACTAGTTATCTTTGGGTCAATCCTTGATGGCAGGGTCCACAAGGTCGCAAGATTGCTCTCTGATGTGTCCCATTTCACAGTGATGATAAGGCCTATTACAGATGATCCTACAAGTGCATGGAGCCTTGAAATTGATTCTGGGCAAAGTGAAGACACGGAGACAGAGATCGGAGATCCTTGGGAAGTTGATAGCACATCCGGGAGTGAAGAAAGTGTGGATAGTGCATCCACTGACAGTGATGCAAGCGGCCTCAATATGGG